GTGTGCTGGGCCAAAGAAGGAGGAACTGGAGTGCTCTGGGCCAAAGAAGCTAGAACTGGAGTGTGCTGGGCCAAAGAAGCTGGAACTGGAGTGTGGTGCGCCGAAGTTGCTGGTGCCAAGTCAGCTGGAGCCTGCGCACAGGCCAAGCCAAAGCAGCTGGAGCCGGGGGACGGGGGGCGGTCAAGCTGAAGGAGCTGGGGGCGGGGCATGTTGCAGCCGAAAGAGCTGGGGCCGTGGAACGGTGGAGCCCGGGAAGCTGGGGCTGTGGCGTGGTCCAGCTGGAGCAGCTGGGGCTGTGGCGTGGTGGGGACTAAGCTGCCGCTGCCTCTGGTGCGGGAGTGCAGGCTCGCCCCACTGCTGGTCGGGCTGGGCGCCTGGGGGCCGCTGCCTCTGGGGATAGGGCTGAACTGAAGTGCTGCTGTGCTGAAGCGCCAGTCGGGTGGGCCAGGTGGGGGAGGGGTGCTTACTTTCGCCTCCCCGATCTCAGAGGTTTCTCGCCTCGCTGTGGCTCTCTGCTCTCCTGAGGGGCTAGCTTGTTGAAACTACCCTCGCAACAGTTCTGCTCCCTCCATAGGGGGATCCCCTTGGGATGTGAGGGGTCTTGAAGAGCACAATTTTTCACTCGGTGAGCTGCCCCTCCCCCCCCTCTGAGAGACACATGGTCTCAGTCTCTGGGTCACAGTCCTTGGGGAAGGAAGGGAGCTCCTCTTACCTCCTTCCACTTACTCTGGAGATTCCAGCACTCAGTCCTTGGGTGTACGGCTGTCTGGGTGCCTCAGACGTCCCCTGTATTGTGTGAATAGCTTCTGTTGGAATATGAATGTCCTTTTTGTTGTGTCTTAGAGGGGGAGAGTTCAATGGCGGAAGCTCACCCGCCGTGATGCTGACGTCACTCCTCTGTTCCATTTTGAGTTAATTTTTGTATATGGTAAAGGTATAGATGGCAGTTCATTTTAAAAATATGGTTATTCAATTATTCCAGCAGAATTTGCTGAAAAGATTTTTTTTTTTACACTGAATTGCCTTTGCCCCTTTGTTGAAAAAGTTCATATATGTATGAGTCTATTTCTGGACTCTCCTGTTGATCTGGTTATCTGTTTCTATAACAATACCACACTGTCTTGATTATTGTAACTTTATAAGAAGCCTTCAAATCATGGAATATTAGTCTTCAAAGTTTGCTCTTTTTTTTCACAATTGTTTTGGTTATAGTAGAGGTCCTTTGTATTTACATATGCATTTTAGAATTAGTTTGTCAATTTCAACCAAATAAAAAAGCCTACTAGGATTTTGACTGAGATTGCATAGAACCTATATATTTATTTGGGGAGAATTGATATCTTTACTAAGTTGAGTCTTCTATGAACATGGTATGGCTCTCCTCTTAAGGTCTTTTAAAATTTCTCTCAGCATTGTTTTATCGTTTTTCACATACAGGTCTTTTACAACTTTTTTCAGATGTGTCCCTAAATATATCATATTTTTGGATGTGATTATAAGTGGTATTACTTTATAACTTCCACTTCCTGTTGTTTGTTACTAGTATATAGAAAGAAAATTAACTTTTCTATATCAATCTTGTATTCTGGAGGCTTGCTAAACTGACTTATATGTTCCAGTAGCTTTCTTGTAGCTTTTATCAGATTTTCTATAAAGATATTTATGTCATCTCTAAATAAAGACAGTTTTACTTCTTTGTTTCTAATCAGGATGCTTTTTCTTTCTTTTTTTTGCCTGATTCAATGCCTAGAATCTCCAGTATAATGTTGAACAGAAGTTATAAAAGTAGACATCTTTGTCTTGTTCCTAATCTTAGGGGGAAAAAAAGGTCAGTCTTCTACCAGTGAGTGTGATGTCAGCTGTAGATTTTTCATAGATGCTCTTTATCAGATTGAGCAAGTTTCCTTCCATTTCTATGTTGCTGACAGCTTTTATCAGAAATGGTTTTGAATTCAGTCAAAGGCTGTTTCTGTACCTAATCAATTGATCATATGGTTTTTCATTTTTATTGTATTAATATGATAAATTATGTTGATTGATTTTCAAGTATTAAACTAACTGTGTACATTCCTGAGATAAACCTCATGATGCATTATCTTTTGTATATGTTGTTGGAGTAAATTTGCTCACATTTTTTTTTTGTGTGTGAGGAAGATCAGCCCTGAGCTAACATCCATGCCAATCCTCCTCTTTTTGCTGAAGAAGACTGGCCCCGAGCTAACATCTATTGCCAATCCTCCTCCTTTTTTTTCCCCTTTGTCTCCCCAAAGCCCCAGTAGATAGTTGTATGTCATAGTTGCACATCCTGCTAGTTGTTGTACGTGGGACGCTGCCTCAGCATGGCCAGACAAGTGGTGCATCGGTGTGCGCCCGGGATCCGAACCTGGGCCGCCAGTAGCAGAGCATGCGCACTTAATTGCTAAGCTCCGGGACCAGCCCCAGTTCTGTCAGTTTTTGATTCATGGATTTTGAAGCTCTGTTACTAGATGCATAAACATTTAGATTATTATGTTCTCCTAATGAATTGACACCTTTGTCATATGAAATAACCTTTTTTTTTTTTTTTACCACTAATAATATTCTTTGGACTGAAATCTACTTTGACAATCATATAGACGCTCCAGCTTTCTTTTGATATTTTTGATATTGTTAGAGTGGTATGCCATTTTCCTCCCATTTGCCTTTAGCTTATTTGTATCTTTCTATTTGAAGTGCATTTTTTGTAGTCAGCATATAGTTGAGTCTTGCTTTTTCATCCAAACTGAAATTCTTTGGCTTTTAATTGGGCTATTTATATTTAATGTGATTATTGATAAGATCAAGTTTAAATGTCATCTTGCTGTCTGTTTTCTATTTGTCACATCTCTTTGTTCCATTTTCTTCTTTCTTTGCCTTCTTTTGGAATGATTGGATAATTTTTTATGATTCCATTTTATCTCCTTTGTTGGGTTATTAGCAATAACTCTTTGTTTTGTTACTTTATTGATTGTTTTAGGGTTTATAGCATACATCCTTAACTCATTACAGTCTGCCTTCAAGTGATATTACACTACTTCATGTCTACTATATATGTATTACAATATTTATTACAACCGTATAATAATATACTTCCACTTCTCCCCTCTGAATCTGTGCTATTGTTATACATCTTACTTTTACATATACTTTAAAGCCTATGTTCCGTTGTTATTATTTTTGTTTAAACAATTATTTTATTTAAAATATTATCTTTTAAAAAGTTTTAAATAATAAGAAAGAAAACATATGTTAACCCCTGTAGTTACCATTTCCAGTCCTTTCATTTTTTGTGTAGATCTATCTTCCCAGCTGTTACCATTTTCCTTCTGCCTGAAGGTTGTCATGTAGTGTATTTTGTAGTGCAGGCCAGTTGGTGATGAATTCTTTTAGCCTTTGTATGTCTGAGAAAGCTTTTATTTCTCTTTTGTTTTGAGAGATATTTTTGCTGGGTATGGAATTCTCAGTTGACTTTTTTTTTCTGTCAGTACTTTAAATATATTGCTCCACTCTCTTCTCTTTTCCATTTTTTTCTGATGAGAAATATATCATCCTTATTTTTGTTTCCTTGTATGTAACATGTCTATTCTCTCTGTCTACATTTAGAGTTTTCTTTTTATCACTCGTTTTGAAAAATTTGATTCCTTTCTCTCGGGGATTACTGCCCTTCATTATTTGATGTACAGTGTCTTGCAAACCATTATTTCATATATGATATGGACATATTTAGCAATTTGACTTTGTTTTTAAAGTATGCCGTCAACCTTAGTATTTGAAGATAACATCCTCTTCTTCTTTATTGTTAATTCCACTACATTTATTTCAGAAAGGTAATGAATTTTTCAATATATTGAATTATAGGTCTATTTCTCTGTTACTGATCCATATTCACATTTGTCTGTAATGAAAATCTGGTCATTTAAACATTTATTTTCTGTTTGTTAAAATATCAGATCCATCACTTTATCATTCTGCCGTTGCCCAAGTAAACTCAACTATTTCTCATCTCCCGGATATCCAGATGTTTACAGTTGAGTTTCTTGTTGAAAGTTTGTGGTCATCTTATCCTACAAACCAAGATGAATAAATTCTGTAATATGAGATTTTCATTTTCATCACACAGGAGAAACTCTAAAGGCACTCTTGGGATTTCTCTTATTGCAATGATCAAATTATATTTAAAGGTTTTCACTTGGGTTTGGTGAAATCTCAGATGATGTCTAAAAAAATATGAATCAGGTTTAACTTCTGTCTTGAAAGATAAAATAGTCAAAACCAGCCAACATCAATGCTGACAAACACCAATCAAACATACAGACTCTTATTGACATCTGAACAATCAACTGAAAAAATAAGGTAGCATAAGAAACTAAGCTTACAAATACCTAACTTATTTACTCATATCATATATACTGATCTTTAGATATATCTGAGATGTTGCAGAGCAGAATTACCTGTAACTATTTGTTTTTAATATAGGTTTTTGTCACCCTACCTCCATACTCCCTCCCCCTGCCTGTGATACTTATTTGATGGGGCTTGGGAATGTCTATTTTGTTTCAGGTTCCCCTGGTGATACTGATGTACAGCCAGGCTTGGAAATTATTGTTTTCTTTGACATTACTGGGAAATCAGTATTTCATAGAAACGTATTTAAAGATGACTTTAAATACCCTTAAGCACCAAATTTAACAAAATTTGGTAGATAACTTTTCTTAAAAACTTTTTATGCATCTCTGCCTTTTTAAATTGTATACTGCACATAATTTAACTTTCTGTGGTGGTTAGAGACTGTAATGCCCATTTTGATGAACAACAGCCTTTTGGGCTGTTGAAGTGCAGAGCACTGTTTCCCACTATATATTGCAGGGCTCTTTGAGCTGGGTTCATTTCTGGTGATTTTTCTGTCTTTTTACTTCGGTCTGTCAGCTTTTACTTCCTTCTGCTGAGTATATATCTGGTTCAAGCAACCCTCACTCCCTCTGATTTGTTACTTGTAATAAAGCCTAGAGAACCAGGAGGCCAAGAATCTTAGAATTGTATCTAAAATAAAATTTGAGGAAGGTGGCTATTCTCTCATGGAACATTGCACACAGAGATGGAATTCATGATGTCTGAAGCAGCTGTTGTTAGCCTATGGACTGCCTTGGTGCTGAAAGGGTTTCTGTTATGTATAGAAAACACATCACTTAGCGTCTCTGAAATTTCTAATTTAACATATGGGGTCACATCTGTTAAAGGATTATTACTCTAGAAGGGGAGTGATGTATAATTTATTAAAACAACCCTATGGGGAGACAGAGGACTACATTTAATAAACTGGAATACTTGCTGGCGCCATTGAATGCTCCCAGCTGAATCCCACATTATTTCCATAGAAGGGACAGAGGAAAACAATTGCCCTTTATATAATGTTTACTGTGTTGTATTATTAGTGTCTCTCAGCTGAAAAATATTTATGGTAACTGTTTGGTTTAAGCTTTGAATATTGAACTCCTGCTGGTGTGTAGTTGCTATTTAATTATGAAGAGAACCAAGTCCATTATTCTTTAGCTGTAGGAGGCAAAGGAAGGGCTCACTACCCTTCTTCCCACCAATCTGCAGTGAAGGCCGGCAGGTAAGAGAGTCTCCCCAGAGTTGCCCAGATTTCTCTCTCCTCCCAGTACTATGCACCCATGAGGTAGATAGCACTAGAGGAAGTAGCCTCAGAAAGAGTTCTTTTTGTATCAGACACATTAATTTTCCTTTCTCATGGTGATAAGACAAAGACTACTGCCAGTAGCACTTCCGTGGCTGCCTGCTGATTGGGTTTCTCAACAGCAAATAACATGATTCTCTTGATATGATATCAGATTTATTTCAGACTCCAGTGTGAAGCATAGCAATAGGATACCTTGCACAATTCCCATTTTTAAATGGAGGAGAAAAGAACAGAGAGCTCCTACGCACGTCCCCTGCCTGTGCCTTGGAGGAACACTGGTAGATGCGGGCTTGCTTTCCCAGTACCCAGCAGATAGAATTTCATCAAAAATCCTAGTACTGGATTCTTGAAGTCTTGAATGTTTTGCTCTATTGTTTCCTGCTTTTTTCTCATTTGCCTTAATTTAGAGATTTACCTCACTGCCAGATAAATTTAGAGATTTTTTTTTTCTTATATTGAAATTATCATTGATTTTTTTAAAAAAGCAAAAGTAACTTCCAGTTCTAATACAGGAATATTACAATAGGTAGTGGGGTCTGTCTTGGATTAACTGTGAATTAACATGAATAATAGTGCAATAAAGCAATTATGTGACTTGTAGCTTCAGGCTGCATCCCAGATATAAAGGACATTTTTCTTCAATGTCTTATTTTAATCTTACTTTGTCTTCTCTTTAATCATTTTGCTTTTTAGATTATTTTTCATCAAATTCCACCTTTGGATACCTAGAACAAAAAGCGTGGTC